TTAATCTGTAGATCATTTCTAGACAAATTTGTCTAGAAAATTTTTACTATTTATACTATTATACCAAATTACCCAAACCATTTATTATTGGATTAAGAGCTATTATTTACACTATACCCAGAGTTCTGCACAAATCACAGGCATAGTACTGTGCTCGGTATCATGAATCTTAACTATCTTTACTTTATTTAGCTTCGATCGTGAATACCAATCTATATATTTTTAAAGATCGAATAATTTAAGTCACGTTATCAAGGTTTATTATATAGTAAAAATTATAAGTCAAATAGTTTAATTCTGTAATTCAAATAAATATCTTTCAAAAGATAAAAGGTCTTTTTTATTAACATTTCTCTTTGATGTATGCGATTAATTTCAATATATTGAATTACACTGAAGCATGTATATTTCTGTCTTGCTTAGCAATAATATTTGCAAATTTACATTGAAATCAACTAGTATTGAATCAAGTATATTGATAATATTGTTTGTTTGTGAGCACTCACTTAAATTTAACATGCTTAAGGTTAATTTATAGTTCTAATTTTTATACGCAGTTTTGTCAACGATTTTGCCTTTATTTTGTTTTTTTTTTTGCTATTTTTTTTTTTTTTTTTTTTTGTATTGGTTAAAGATTTAGCTTAGTGATTTTTAGAATAAAGGTTTTTAAAACAATCTGGTCTTGTCTTAGAACAGCATAAGGGTACCTTATATTTACTACACCATAATTGACTTTGAGGAGGGTTATCATAATTAATTTCTTTTTTGCCACATGATGATAAATACTGACAATAAACACAGGCTTCTCTTTTTATTCTCCATTCAACAAAATAGCCTCTATCTAATAAATGATTTAAGGGCAATTCAAAAATTTTCGTAACATAAACAACTCATTTTCTCTTTAAAGCTTGTAGAGATATTTCATCATATGATAATTTATTTTTTTCATCTAATGCTAATATATCTTTAATCAAGTTCCATGCTAAGTTAATTCTGAATTCTTTACTTAAAATATCTGAGTTTGTAACTTTACGATAAAGAAGTACACAGTTTACAAGCATGGTATCTAGTATCAAAAAAATAAAGAAAACCATGTATGCCTAACTGTCAGTTGACAATTGTAATACTCACAAAGTTGGTCAGTGATATCAACACCACTCATATAGTAGTTATAATCATCAATCATCTGTAGAATTTCCAGTTCTTTACGATATATATCTCCAAAAACATAACATACTGTATTTGTATTTATACTTGTCTCTCGTGGTCATCATCTGTTATGGATAACTTTTGAATTATTATCAGAAATTTTATGAATAGTGGATAGCATAGTTACCAGGCCATTATCTATCTACAGAATGGTCAAAACATCGTTAACAATCTTATCCAAAATAGTATTCCAATCTAAAGACGATTTTTTACTAATTTTTAACTCTTTAAGAAATCTAGCTAAATTTGTATAAATGGTGCTACATGTACCAATATCTTTTTTATGCAGAAATTTAAAAAGCGGTATGCTAGAAAAATAATTGTCCATGTACACATAATACGTTTTATTACGAGGAAGCTTACTAACTAAATACGCAACCATACAACCAGTATTATTAAGACCAGAGATAGACTCAATAGCTGTGTTTTTTTTAATATAAGATGTAAAAATAAATGCCCATGTATATCCACAATCATAGAGAGAGATAATTTTGTAACTTTTCGGTGTTGGTTTGTTTTTCATCCTTACCGTGTAGGTACTTCATCTGGAGAAACGTATAACTATCTTATTAATAGAAATATTTGAACTAGAAATGTAAAAGTTTTGAATTGTATCTTGGATATGCGATACCAATAGTTCCACCTTATAATACCAAAATGAATGTAGTTCACCTGGCATTAAAATATGAAAAAACTGGTTAATTTGTTAAAATCGAACCATAGTTATAAATTTTTTGATTTTATATGTAGCTTTTTTTTATTCCAATTCTATAAATCTTTCACAATACTAATTTTATGAACTCCTATATAGATAATCAACCCAAACCAAATTTTTAATTCATTTAAATTTAATGGAGTCTATATATGACCACCTTCGTGACTCTTTATATGTTCATACATATTAGTATTCTCGACTATTTTCTAAAACTGTTTATTGGTAAAAAATAACTAAAAGAGAGATATTAGAGTAACAATTTCTAGTTGAAATTTATAGAGAAGTGTTGTATATCCTCTGTGAAGTGGTTGAAAATTTTGGATAGGGTTAAATATAGGCAATTTTAATACAGACAATTCTGTACATATATTACTAACTTCTGTTTATCTTTTTCTTTGCTTTTTACACCTTCCCTACCTCTACCTCTTCCTTTACTCCTTCCTTTACTCCTTTCTCTACCTCTTCCTCTACCTCTTTTATTACTACTTCCTATACTCACATCTTCATTCATATAGTTTTGTTTACCGAATTCTACTTTATCATTATTGGTAACCTCTACGAGCTCATAATCGATTGTCAACTCACCATGACAATCACATTCAAAAGTAACTGAGTATTCCAGATCAGAATCATCATCATCAGAAGACATTAGTATTTTTTTTTAAAAAAAAAAGATGTATTTTTTTTTTAAAAAAAAAAAGATAAAACAAGTAATTGCACAAAAACGATACGATTTAATAAAAATTTTTGTTAAAAAAAAAGAATATAAAAGATTAAAATAAAGTGATAGATATTATAAGATTAAAAGACAGTTATTAGTTAACTATCTGAGTTTAGCACCAGACACATATATCACTTGCAAATGATTTCTAATTTATTTATTATCAAAGCAAAATATTTATTTGAAATTTTTATTGATATTCTTTTTATATTCATTCTAGTTATAAGCAATAATTTAGCCAATGTTTAAATTGAGAAGCTTGCAATTTACGCACACATATGTTGAGAATTTACTTCATATGATTTTAACTATATATTATTCACAACACGCCAACTATTTGATTTTTTTGTGATGCGACATGCAAAGTACTAATCATGATTGGGATTAGATAAGGGCGAAAGCCTACTATGTTCTTGTTTTTATTGATGCAGACAAAGTGATGTCATGTAAATACTCATAAGTACTTGCATATTCTTTGTTCTTTGTACTTAATATATATATATTATTAGTATGTATATATGTATAAACTTTGATCATTAATTTTGGTTGTCAATCTTATCAATTTTTTTTACAAAATAAATCTGTATATATTGTTTTCTAGGCAAATTTGCCTGGAATTTTGTATCAAATGATTGGTTGGAATATTATGTATTAAGGTAGTTCAGTAATACAGAAGTAGTTTAGTAAAACATACATGTATATATTTTAGATAGCTGTATATACGAACATGATCATCGATCTTAAACAATTATATTTAGATTTTTTTACAAAAAAAATGTATATAGTATTGTTTTTTAGGCAAATTTGTCTAGAAACTTTATCAAATGATTTATTAGATTTTTCTAATTTTGAAATATCATACATTAGGGGGCTTTTATTTGGTATAGTTTAGTGCTACAAAAATATTTATTATATAATTTGAAAATTCTAGACAAATTTGTCTGGAAAACAATTTAAGGAATATATTGTCAAAAATAATTCACTTCCAATAATAAGCTATTTTCTTTTTTTAAAAGAAAAACATAAAAATTTCTTTGATTTAAAAATAAGCTATTTTATATAATTATCAGTAGTCACTCTATAGTAAAGTCAAAATTTTACTAAATAAATTAATCTATTTTATTAAATAAAAGTTGTTCAAAATAGCAAAATACATATATTTTAAAAATATTATATAAATCAGATAACTTTTTATTAATTGATTTTTGATTTTTATATTTGACAAATATAAATTTTAAAAAAATTTTAAAAAATTTATCAAACATAATATACAAAAATATATTAATAAAAGGTTATCCAATTTAGATGAAACTTTCAAAATATATGTATTTTAATCTTCTGAACAGCTTATACTTAATAATATAGATCGATTTATTTAGTAAAATTTTGACTTTACTATAGAGTAACTACTGATAATTATATAAATAGCTTATTTTTGGATCTAAGAAATTTTTGTTTTTCTTCTAAAAAAAGAAAATAACTTATTATTAAAGATAGATTATTTTGATAATATATAATATATATATATAATTTATTGAACTTGAACATGTTCATAAACTTGAACTGAACTTGAACTGAACCAAAATTTTGAGTTCAGGTTCAGTTCAAGTTTATAAATTTAAAGTTCAGTTCAGGTTCAGGTTCAAAAATCTGCAAAATTTAAAGTTCAGTTTAGATTCAATTGAACTTGAATCTGAATCTAAATTGAACTGAACTGAATTTCGAAACACTAGTCTCTTATAGTGTCTTAGAGATTATTGATTTTAAATTTGTTATCCACTTATTAATTTTTTTTAAATTTTTTAAAAATCTGTTATAAAAGTTAATCCTAACTAGTTTGATAGTATCCTGATACTCTTTTATTATTTTCTTTCTTTATAGTCTAGTCAATATCTAGAAATTTTTTTAAAGCTCTTTATAAATATTGTAAAATTAATTTTTTATTCAAATATTACAATAACAAATATCTAACTGACCAAGAAGCAGAACAAATTTACAACAAAATCAAGACTATTATTTATTTACTACAAACTGATTCTTCTTTAACTGCTGAGAAAACAAAAATCTTATACCTTTATACTAAGTATTGTAGTTTTATTTGGACTAATAGATATAACCCTAAACCAAAACAACTTTGGGATAAGAGATACCAAATTGAACTAAACTTTGCTAAACTTATTTCTCTTATTACTTTCTATTTAGAGTTGACAATTCTACTAAAATTGTTTATAATCTATCATCTTAATCTCAACCAAACTTTTTTACTTATACTTACTATCAAAATATGATCTAAATAACTTGAAGCTATATAAAGAAGAATTAAATAATCAAGTACTAACAAAAGACAGATTAAATATTCTATTCAAATTTTGTTAAAACAAAAGCTTCTCTATCTGGCTTTAAACAAATTGTAAATAAATATTAAAATATACAAGAGACAAATTCACAATCACAACTTTGTTCACAAAACTAATATATATTTTTAAAAAAAAACAAAAAAAAAACCTAATTCTAATTGTTTTATTTGTCATTTTATTGAAATCTATTATATTACTTCTCTATTATTTTTTTATTTTTGGAAGTAATATTCAAAGAAATATAATATATCTGCTTATAATAGTAAAATATTATATCACTTTAACCAAGCCCAATTTATAAGCTTATATAACAGAAATCAAAGAATAACAAATTTTAAAAAATTATTAACCTTTATTTGATATTATAATCATATTTCTAGTAAAGAGTTTAATCAAATAATAACTAAATTAAATTATTATTAGAAAGAAAAGAGAAGTTTTTTGTATTTGCTTCTATATCTAAAAAAGTCAAAACAATAACAACTCTAACTCAAAGTCTGAACAAGGATTTGAAGCTAAATCTGAATCTAAATCTATAGTAATGAGCCAACACAAAAGTCATAGAAGTTTCTAGCATGAAGATGACAAGATAGAAGAAGTAATTAATTTTGTAGATAATATTATTATTAATAAAGACAGCTCATAACAAGATGCTCTAAATATACTGTTAGTAATACAAAGAAAATCTAAATGTAGAAATAATGATAGAGAGTCTACTTTAGTTGAATTAATAAAACAATTAATTACTAGATTAGAACAAGTATTTAATAATAATCATAATAGACCTAAGAAGCAAGAATTGTAAATTTTTCTACTTTCAAAGAAGGTGAAGAAGACCCTATTGCTTGGTTTGAAGCTTTTAATAATATAGCAACTATAAACAAAATTAGCAAGAAAAGAAGACTAGAAATAGTAGCTAACTATTTAAAAAAAATAGCTCTTAGCTAAATTAATTACTTTAAAGCAATATTTACTAGTTGAGATAATTACTCTACTATTGATAATATGTATTACTCTTTTAAATATCAGTTTGAACAATAGTTTAGAAGCTCATATTGAATTACTCAATAGTATTATTCTCTAAAAAATAAAAAACAAAAATTGGTGAAACTATTAAATTTTACTTTCTGTATTAGAAAAATTATAGTGAAAAGTAGATCCAAATAAAAGATACCCTGATAAAGATAGAAAAAGACAATTCATAGATGGATTATATACTGAATTCTATATTCTTGTTAAATCTGCTATACTAGAAGACTTACATGATACTATTAAAAAAGCTAAAACTATTGAAGTAGCTTATTCTAAAAGCAATACTCTTTTAGTCTATTTATTATTGTCTACTGCATATCAACTACACTTTTTTGGTTATACTTCTCTCATCTCAGAAGTAGATATTAAAACTTTAATTACTACACAAACTAAAGAGTTCTTAATTAAAACTATTAGACAATTAAAGCTAGTTAATGCAAATGTCTTTAGACTATATATGTTGATGAAATTATTTTAGGGTCTAAAACCTGAAATTAAAATTTAAAGACAAAATTGTTTTTGATCTATTTTACTTAAAAGATAAAATTTTTTGATATTTTTTTTGAAGAGACAAAATTATAAGAAACATAACTACCTAAATTAAATTTGCTCTTGCATATAAAAAATTCTAATTTGCTCTAATAGAAACAAAATAGAATTTTTTTAAAAACCTATTTTGGTAGTATATATACTTTAGACAAGCTACTAATAATAACAACATCAATTAAAACAATTAAAATAATAATCAAAATAACAGAAACAATCAATTAAATAATAATTAGCAACAAAATAATAACAGATCTAGAAACAATAATAATAATATTTGCTACTATTGCCAATATACAAGATACATAGTATATGAATATTAAGCTCCTATTTGTAATAATTGTAATCAAATTAGTTATATAGCAAGAAATTGTCAAATGAACCAAAATTGGAGAAACAATAATAATTACTAACCTAATAGAAACTTTAACAACAATTATCAAAACCAAAACAATAACAGACCTCTCAATAATTATAATAATAATAATAATTTTAGACTTTCTAACAACAATAATAAACAACAAATAAATCTTCTAAATAACAATAATAATAATAACAATCAGCCTAATAACAATAATAATAATTAACAGCAAAATTTTTTGAATTATTATAAAAATCATATCAATATTCAGAACAATAATGATAATAATTTTGCTAATCAAAGAATGAACTTTTTAAACTAGAAAAGACATCTTCTGAGGATGAGCATATCACTAATTTAAAGCTCTTATTAAAAGAATAATTAAATAGTTTAGAAATTAAAATCATGAAATATTATAATAGTTTCTCTAATGAAAATGATATAAATAACAAAAATAATATAAATATTAGAACTAATAATATTAATAAAGAAAAGTATATAAATAATATTTGATTAGAAGATAATAATAACAAATATATTAAAATAAAAGAATTAAATCAAAACTTAGATCAAAAAGAATCACCAAAAAAAGTTGTACAAGATATTCTATTTTTCATTACTCAAATCTTTGA